TTCCAGTTGATCCACTTTCACGCTGTATAATATCAGTTTTTTTTATCCAGTAGCTACGTCACGGTTGAAAAGTTTAGCCTTAATTTTTTAAGTTTGTTGTTTGTAATCCGTGTTAATCTTCTCCATTCTTAACCGTCCTTGTTCCTTTACGGTTTATTAATGTCTCTTCGGTGTTTTTCTATCATAGTAAACTACTATTTTCAGATTTCCTTCAATTTAAAGGTAATTCTGTACAAGGCCAAAATAACTGAAAATATCGTGACTGAGCTGCTTTACATAAATCAGGAGTCCTGTGAAAGTCCTATTGAGAAAACTGAGTTTCCGATACATAGAAATTGCTCATGATTGGGAAGCTAATATTCTGTCATTTGATTATTTCATGATTCTATCTGATCCATGATTTCACGTTTAATGTCAGAGAGACCTTGTAACTATAAATATTTAGATACATAAGACTTTAATATGACTTCAAATGACTTGAAGTTCAGTTACCGGTAAGTGAATGTTTACACAGTCTGTGCAGCATATTTCACCGTTTTCAGGTCTTGAGTAGATACTCGCAAACTAGAGCGCTTGTTACTTAAGTGTCGAAAGTATCTATTCGCACTTTCTTTGGTTTTCCATTACTACGCTTTGTGATTGGTTTAAAAGTCTCGCGCCACTTTGTCATCCAAACAGAAGTAAGCTAAGACCAAAACCAAGCGTGACTCGCTCGCGCACTTTTTCCCGCGCTCTGTGCCGGTAAGATGTATTCGGTTCGAGTCTTGATTGGTTTACTGGATTTCTTTGTCCTTTGTGATTGGCTAGAGTGATTACTTTGGTTTCGGTTTATCGACACTCAATTAAAAACTGCTCAACAACTATTGACGCAAACTCAACAATCCCAATTTATTTATTTGGACACTTCGGTGAGCTTTAAGCTTGAGTACAACAGTCTTTGCCAACGCAGCTAGTGCAATCTTAGAACAAAAGAAATGCTTTGGGTGTGGTACTGCAGCTTCCCTTTAGTGTTGAAATTAATTAAACATCTGCTTTTTCACCTTTGGTTCCTTTATCAGAATGGTTTTAGTGAGATAGTCAATCACATAGTTTCTAACCTAGTGCGTATTGTTTTAAGCTAAAAGATGCTTGTGCTTGTTTTGAGAAGTAGATCGTTGACTTATATGTCGACTACTATACTGAGTACGAAGTCTCTAACAGCAGCCGGGTAGCTGCTGAGCTATAGCAAGATATGTCTTTCTATAGCTTACTTTATATACCTACAGACTGTCGTGTAAGTCTCCTCAGCGAAGTGAACAATTTCATTTTATTATTTTCAGACCTTTGTCAAGTGGTCTTCACCAGACGAGGACAACAAATGCCTAGGAGAAGTGCTTCTCACAATAGAACCCAAATGCAGAGGGTCATCTACTGGTAAAAACTGTTTATTTTTCACTCTTGTTATTGGGATAATTAATATGTCACTGTGGGCCGGTCAGTCAATGCTACACTGCTTCCTCGTTTGGTTGTTCAAACTTTAATATATAGAGAGCTTGCATGCGGTGTCTGCGCCCGCAGTACGAGGGGCGGTCAAAACCGAGCTGTCCTACCGAAACGACACGATAATAGTCCTTTTCTTCACAGCTAACAAAAGTAATGACAATGCTATAGTTGTCCTATTCCAATACTTAACTCGAGAAACTGGGTTTAACTTGACGAGGAACAACATGTTTTGTTCAAAACAACGCAACTATTATCCTACCTGGCGACACTCGACGAACTACGAGCGAGTTGCCGCGAGTGTCCGCGAGCGACCCATTTTTGGCGCAAGTTAAAAGCTTGGATATGATATGGTGTTTGGAATTATAAATCCTTCTTCGTGAATATTCAATTCTGTCTCCAGTGAGAAAGGTTGCCTGATTTCAATGCCTTTCCTGNGTGTTTAAATGGGTACCGGCGAACTTAATGCTGGGGATAACCCCTGCGATGGACTAGCATCCCATCCAGGCGGGAGTAGAAATACTCCTAGTCGCTTCATGGGCCACTTGGCTCGCATGCAGACTTTACCTGTTAACATACATTGACGTCACTCAGGACAGTACAGCCTTTCCCGCCTGCTGAATCCCGATTGGTCAATTACATTTCGGGCGCGTCAGCCTTGTGCTAAGGAATTCAATGACTTAACATCAAGGGTTTTGTTTATCACAGATCCTTACGCAGCTTATGGTCTGAAGGTGGTGGGTGGAAAGATGACTGATGATGGTAAACTAGGAGCCTTTATTACTGAAATTAGAAAAGGTGGCCCCGCGGACAGACAAGCACAGCTTCAAATAGGTATTTATTGGATTACACTTTGTGTCGCGCGAGAACCATCCTTATTATATAGAGACAAGTGTTTTACTGGAAAATACACCACTCGATAAATTCATAGGGAGGTAATGTGGCCGAGTGGTCAGGGCGCCGGACTTGAAATCCAGAGGTCGCGGGTTCAAGTCCCGCTCTAACCACTAAGCTGGAGTTGTTTCTTGGTAGACCCTCGTTCAACTCCTCGGTCAGCCAGTTGGGACTTCAAGCCTATTATGTTTGTTAAAAATATTTCTTTCTTTCAGTTTAAGTGGCGTGTCTGAGGACTAGCTAATTTGAACTAAGCGCATTTACCACTATAAACATTTAACATTTAACATCTTAACATACGAAACTACATCCGGGACCCGAGTGGCGTATTTTTCATATCCTCAGTAGAGAAGATATCGATGACGTCATTTCCCGCTTTTTCAGCGTTGTTTTTGCTAACGGTCAGTTTGTCTATATAATAAAAGGAAAATTACACGGTGGCTTGAAGATATTAAAAATTACAGTGAGGTACCTGTCAAGAGCGTTTGCCTTTACGTCTGCCAGATTCAAAATCTTTGTAATTTAATTTTTGTGTTTTGATTCTCCAAAAGGGAGGTGGCTAGCTACCCAATCCACGCCCTTTAAATCAGCCCCTGCAAGTTATTCATCTACTCGTTTCCTCTGTTCACGCATCACAAAGCAATGTGTAACTCATAAAGATATGATTGATTATCACAGTAAAACACACAAATTAAGCAGTTGTAATAACCTGAACAAAGTCAGGCTTGAACGGGATTCGAACCCATGACCTCTCCGATACCGGTGCAGTGCTCTGCCAACTGAGCTATCAAGCCAACTGGGAGCTGGTCACCTTGTGAGTTCGTAATATACCCGTAGATGATGAAGAATACTAGTGAATACATGAAAGGTCTTTCATATATTCACTTGCAATGTGGAACTCGTCATTTGCTGTATTACATGTAAGTTGCCTTGTTTGTATTTTGTTCAGGCGATGAAATTCAGGACTGGAATGAACAGTCCCTTGTTGACTGCACATTTGAAGAAGTGATGGAGAGCATCAACTCATCAATGGAAGACAATCAAGACAGTAATGAACTCCATCTTATTGTGTGCAGAGATAAGTAAGTGTCACTTGGTTATTTTCTCACTTTTTTTAAGTGGTAGTCCTTGGAGTCAAACGTCTACAGTCAAGACCTAAACAAAACCGACAAACAGACCCAAACAGACCGACTTGATTTGACTAACAATAGACGGACCTCAGAAAGACCGACTAACAATTGACGGATCGAAACTTATTAGAACTGACCAATGACTGCTGAAAAACTTTACACGAGTCTTTCAGCCAATACCAGCATGGCTAATCTGACCAATCACTTTCAACGCACCAGACGTATAACATCATCGACAGACAAACACTATTCACCTGACTCTGAACATGACTTCCGCTAAGGTTGTCAAAACGTCCCGTAAGGTTGTCGAAACGTAGTCACCAACAACAGTTCTTTTCAGAACTACCCTCACCGGGACGATCACTTAACACGAACTAAGTCTTGGTTTTGTTAGGTAACTAAGCTGAAAAGCGCGAGTTCTTCGTGACGAGATAAGGATGTGTGTACAGACATTGTAACTTAGCTGTGCTCGTGGCTGTCACAGAAACCAGTAGTTTGGGAGGCCAAGTCGTCAAGGTTTCCAAGTTGCCTAGGTTGCCTAGGATGGTTGGTGTTAATGGTAATTGTGGGCCTTTGTTTTCTCGGGTTTTTAATGGGACTGGTTTCTTAGGTTTTCCATCGCTGCTGGTACTAGCTTGGCTCAAACCAACTGCATTTTGCAATCATTGATTCTTTTTGCTGTTGCTCAGAAGCAAATACGGTTCTAAAATATAATGTCACACAATGATATCGTTTTGCAAGACAAGTTTTCGTCTTGCAAGTGGATATATGAAAGATCTTAAATTTGAACTGCGGGGAAAGATGTACAAACACGTTGCATCTGCGATGGTCATTCATGTCCTTACAAGTTCTCGTCCTGTTGGTCTGTTTCTCTTAAAGACCATGTCCGCTTCTGTATTCAAATGCCAAATTTTATGCCAAATTTTGGGCTTTGCAATTCAATTTGTTTATCTGTATATAGTTCGACTGCATGATCGAAGAAGGATAATACGTGTTATTCACTCCTGTTTTCAGGAGTAAATTTCTAGGGAAGACCAACCAGTCACCAGTGAAATCACCACGCGGACAGGAGGCCAAGAGAGAGTCTCCTAAACAGGTCCCCACGAGAGAGTCCCCTGTGAAAAGGGATCGCATGTCACCCTCCACTGCGCCCATGTCACATCAACAGGACAGAAGACCGCTGGACAGAAGGGACGAGGGCACAGCAACACTAACACAAAGAGACAGTGTCACAGCAACACCAGCACAGAGGGAGAATGGCCCTATGATGAGTGGGAGAAATCAGCCTTCATCATATGAACCAACAGGTTGGGTGCTGCAAAACTGAATTAAAAGAAAAGCGAGAAGTAACGTTAGCCTCGCGTTCTGAATTTTGTTCACACTGCAATTCATTTCCATCGCAGTGATCGCTAGCCATACCCACTATATAATGGTTGATGTGGTCCTGTCATTTGTCCAGTACTGTTCTACAAAATCACACCATTATTGTTGAGTTTCTTGTTAGCTCGTTTTCAAGTTTGCTCAAGTTGCAATCCATTTCCATCTTAGTAATTGTTGGTTCCTGTCATTTGTCGAGAATTGTAATTGTGGGTTCCTGTCATTTCTACCTACGAAATCAAACCATTACTGGTTGAGTACATGCTTTGAAGTTCGTCTAATCCTGCTAACAGTCGATGGTATATTTTGTTTTCACTGTATCTTCAGATAAGGAGTTGGTAGAATTTTTTTTGTATTTTATTTTTGTTTTCAGATGACGATTTTTTCTTTGGTGGTGGTCCTTTATCAGATGACAAACCTATCAAGTCTGCCAAACAAGTCAGTACAGGACCAGGACAAGGAAAAGTATCAAGAGTAACTGGCCGACTACAGGTAACTTCTTCCCTTGAAATAAATGATCATGTTCAATTGTTTCCCAAAACCCTTGCGAGACCCTCATCACAACTGACAAGTTTACTATATGACGAAGATTTGGCACTCAGACATGTCAAGTTTTCACAGGCCTATGGGCCTACAAGTTGCATGTTTGTGTAAAATTATTTTCCACTCACGTTATGTATGTGTGTGGTTACCACTAAGTTTGTGTAGCCGATGTATGCGAATAAAATCACCGAAATATTGAATTGTTTTTGTTTGTAGTTGAAGCTGTTTTATGACGAAGATGCTTCCAATCTAAATGTGACAGTTGTTGGAGCTGAAAGCTTGGCACCCAAGGAGACCACAACACCACCCAATCCTTACGTCAGGATTTACTTTCTCCCCGACAAAAGGTACGCTTTCTTTTTTTGCTGTTTTTTTTTCTTTTTAAATGACCAAAATCAATCTTGCTTTCCCTTACTGAGCACCAGTCGCATGTTTTCCCGCGCTTGATACCAGATTGTTGATGTCCCGCGCTTGGTGCCGGTTGCCTGTTTTCCTGCGCTTGGCGCCGGTTACTTGTTTTCCCGCGTTTAATCTGCTGTCCCCCGCTTGATACTTTTCACGTACTTTTTCTTGGACCTAGGATTGGTTCATTGTAATTTCTGTTTATTGTGATTGGCCAGAGGAGATTACTGTGATTATGGTTGTAGTTTAAAGGTTTTAGGAAACTGAAAAGGTAGTGAAACTTTTTGTTCAAATCATGGGCCAGTGTTTGTGTTCTCTACTGGTCAGTGACAAGTTTTAACTCACGGTGTTTTTTTCAGCATGCAGAGCAAGAGACGAACAAAAACGGCCATGAAGTCTACCAATCCTAAATGGAATCAGACGTTTGTGTATCCGTGTAGGCCACAAAAGGCAAGAGGCTTCGTTCTTTGGCTTTAGTTGCGCTTTGTACTAACTAAGAATTATTTACTTGTAAGTTACTTACAGTGTGATTGTGATTGTTATAGCTTACAAAACCACATTATATTTTACAGTTCAGTAATCGTGCTCTGGAAGTCACTGTTTGGGATTACGACAAAGTCGGGTCAAGTGAGTTTATTGGCGAGGTAAGGAACATGTTGTTTTCGTTTTCTTTGTTTTTGTTTTTCGAAGCGGGAAAGCAAAACACCGCTAGCAAACAAATAAACAAACATAAAATATGACAATTTTTTTTTGGCTATTCTTGTTCCTGAATAGCTTTGCCATCTGAACATAGTTAATAGAGGGGAATGGTTATGAAACCCGACAAGTTCTTTGTTGTATGTTTTTGTTCTCCTTTTTGGCCTTGACCGTGCACAAAACACAATAGTAATAAATTCCCACTGGGAGCCCTCACTCCCAAACGCCCCAGGCAAGGATAAGATATGGGAAGAAGCGAGCCCGGAGGCGAAAAGGAGCGGGAGCTA